CCCCGTTTACATGAGACCGGAACGAAGTCAAAGCGGGTCCATTTCGTTTCGGTCATAGTATTATTTATAATAGATGTTTACATGAGACCGGGACGAAAAATGCTCAGACCGGCTCAAGTCATTCCGCCTGCTGGACCGAGCCGACTGACTTCAGACCGGCATGAATTCAGACACAGGGCATTTTTTAACTATATAACTGGGGGGGCCAAAGCCCCCCAGCCCCCATGGTGGCCCCCCCACTCAACCATTTTGGCCCCCCCAGTCAAAGTCCCTTTTCTCTAAAATATAAGCAAAACATGGAATTTAGAAGGGAGGTTTGATATTCTAGTAACTGAAATTTGCTTTGTGAATCTTATGTCCTGTCTTTTATGTTTAATAAATAACTTATTAGATTTTAAACATTTCCAGGCAGTGGATTGCATTACCCAGACCCTATAAATTTGAGTTGTTTGACAAGTTAGTGACCGCAGGGGGCAACAGGCCCTCAACCAAGTGTTTTATAAGGGGAGGGGATAATTTTGGCCCCCACCAAAAAAAAAAACAATTTGATTTCGAAACTAGAAGTATTTGAAATCATATATACATATAATCAAATATCTGTAATCGATATTTTGATAACATTTCTCGTAATAATCCATCCTGACTCGCGGATATCATAGACTCACAAATCATAATGAACGAATTAATGAAAGGGCCAAACAAAAGACGTATAGAAGACTTTGAAAATGCCATTTCCGATGATTTAGAGACGCAAAATTTTCAAAAATTTTCCGCTCTGTGCCAACCATGGTGGCGCTTCGTGGGAGTCGGGAACTCTAAGTTTATCAAGCTGGCTCCCTAAGTGACGGCCAAGTTGTTGTATCTACATAAACATACTATGCAAGTACTTAACTGAAGGTTCAGTCTATCTACAGCATAATGTAATGCTGTATATCCAAAAATCTGTTTCAGAAAATGCAGGGAATTGCAGTCATAGGGGTAGAAAAATACAAAATTTTCTGGGGAAGAAAACCCCAGACCCTCTCCAGGGCCGTAGGGTCATTCATTTTTCAAAATCATGCAGACCTTTATTATTTAATCCATGACAATTGCAAACTGCAAAGAATGAAGATATTACCCATACTTTCTTGCAACTTATCCAATATATCGTTAATTAAATACACCTTCGTCCATTTAGTACTACTGAATTCTAAATTTCCACATACTAAAAACGCTGTTTTCTGACAATCAGAAATCTGTCCAATCTTCCCCAAAGTCCAGGAAATGGCATTTCAGAGACTCTAAATTTAAAAATTTCCTCGGGCCTTCGGCCCTCGCTTTCAGCCCCCCCCCCAAACGAAAAGAGCTTCCTAAGGCCCTGCTCTCCTCCCCCCCTACTATTAAATGCGATACCACACCAAACTTTTTGTTACCAACAAACCATCTATGATTGCTCCACACTCGATATAGTATGGTCCCTTTTTGTAAATGGCCCCCCCACTGACGAATTCTTAAAAAATGCCCTGTTCAGACAGGGATGAATGTAAACACAAATACATTTCAGACCGGTCTCGGCTGTAACCTTGACATTGGAACAATACATGCTAACAAAAGTCATCTAAAAAAGAAAATTGCCTGGCAAGGGGAATAAATTGAAAATGTTATGATTTTCGTACCGATCTCATGTAAACATGTTGACAATTTCAATTTTCATTCCGGTTTCACTTCGTCCCGGTCTCATGTAAACGGGGCCTAAGTAGCATTTCAGTATACAGGGTGTCCCAAAAAAGTAGCCCCTGTAGAAATTGTCATATTGTTATAATTTGAATGCCTGAGCACTATGGCTGCTGAAGATAAGAGTTCGTAAACACAATTAAATTGAATTTTTAATTACCATTCGCATAAAATCCTGTGCTTAACAACAATAGGATAAATTTCTATACAGAAGGTACTTTTTTGGGGACACCCTGTATATTACAAAGAAATCTATAAAATGGAATTAATTTTTCCTTCCCATATCCGAATATAAATTAAATCTTTTTGACAAATGTTGGTGAACATTATTAGTTCACAAAATGTTAAAGTGTGCTCGATATCATATATAGATAGAGCAGATATACAGAGTTTTACCTCAAGTTGGCAACTAGTTTTTGAGCATTTAAGAAATTACAACTCTAGGCCTAAGTCCCAATTAGGGCCTTCTCCTCACACTGTTACGCGTACATAAAAATCATCCTGTGCTCAGGGCGGCGCTAACCCTATTTGAATGGGGAGGGGGAGTGTGTGTAAGAGAAATTTTGTGCCAACTTATTTCAACAAATTGGTATTCCTTTTACCAAAATTGTTGGCAAATGGGGC